GCTTTAAGGTCCCTTCCCACCCAAAACAGTCCATGATTCTATGATTCTATGACAATATGGGTAGGAGATGCTATCTGTGAACCTGGCCTCATGTCATTCTGGAATCGGCAGTTCAGGAACTATGCAGGAGACTTATCTGCAGCATAAGGACAAAGAGTCATCAGTATTCCTAAATTTATCCATTCAGGGTCATAGAATGTGTCTGAGGCCTTAAACCTACCAAGATAGACAAGGGAACTATATCGCTGCATGAATTACCACGATCTATCTCAGGTATGAGGGAATGAATCTCACCCTTCAGGATCTAGACTGAGTTCTAATTACTGGGGATTAGAGGACATCATGTCAGAAGGTGGTGGTAGATAATCCTGTAGCCAGAGAGGAAAACTGTGGAGATCAGAAAGACCCATGAGAAAAACATGAACTTCTGACCAGAGTGAGAATTTCATGGCTCTCAAAAAGGGAAGAAGATCCTGTATTTTTGCTGATACTGCTTTGGGCTGCCAAACATCAGAATTGAAACAGATCTGGTTAGGATGATTTTTCTTTGCTATTCACTGCTCAATATGGAAAGCTCTCAAATATATTTTTGCATCAAATGTGGCAGATGATTTTTACATAAAATAGGAAAGAGTCTGGATATGCTTCAGTATTTTTCTCCCTGATGGCTCATTTCTTTCTAATAAGGCTGCGTATTACCTCATCATTTTACACTGTAATAACTGCACTGGTAATTCAGCCCACACTGAATTAGGAAAACAATAAAAGTGCATCTTCAGTTGTGTGTTCACTTTCTGCCCTGTGAAGTTTGTTTCTTAATTTGCAAGTAATTTGCTCTGTGCTACTTTAAGGGAAGGCAGATAAAGAAAATGGGGACAATATGGATGAAGATAAGACTTCAGTGTTTGTTCTCAGTTCCCATAAGACAGAATTCCCCAGTTGGATACTAATAAAACAACTCATCCTTGGCTATGAGGTCAACTCCCACAAGGCACTGACTTGTTACTCCTGGATTGTGTCCTTGGCATGTGGTCAATCTAATGCCATATGAGGTCATGGCTTTGATTTTGGGATGAATTTCACGCTGAGCAGCAGTTTCATCTCACAGCAAATACTACAGGCTCTGGTCAGAAAGAGTGGGATGCATTTCACTGAAGTTTATGCAGCTGCATCACAGGCATTCATGTAAGGTTGCTCTATGACTGATAAGAGATGAACAGCACTACCTGGCTGCAATCTTGAATGGATTATCATGGAATCATAGAACCATTAAGGTTGGAAAAGACCTCTAAGATCATCAAGTCCAACCATAATGATCCTTTGGGCAATGCCTGTTTACCTCTACTGCTATGAAGAGGCCAGACAGCTAGTTTAGACAGAAGTATCTATTCTGCAGACATCTGCAGCACTGTAAGACAATCCATATGAAATGTATTAATGATCTGGATGATGGGGCACAGTGCACCCTAAGCAAGTTTGCTGAAGACACAAAACTGGGAGGAGTGGCTGATATTTTAGAGGATTGTGCTGCCATCCAGAGGGACCTTGACAGGCTGGAGGGAACCTTGTGAAGTTCAACAAGGGAAAGTGTGAAGTCCTGCATGTGGGGAGGAACAACCCCAGGCACCAGTACATGCTGGGGGCTGACCAGCTTTTCTAAGAAAAACCTGGAGGTCCTGGCAGACACCAAGTTGAACATGAGCCAGCAATGTGTCCTTGTGCTTCCTGGCCTGCATTAGGAGGAGTGGTGCCAGCAGGCCAAGGGGGATGATCCTTCCCCTCTACTCAGCACTGGAGAGGCCACACCTGGAGTGCTGTGTTCAGTTCTGGACTCCACAGTACAAGAGACACAGACACACTGGAAAGTCCAACAAACAACTGCAAAGATGACAGAAGGACTGGAGCACCTGACACACGAGGAAAGGCTGAGAGAGCTGGGACTGTTCAGCCTGGCGAAGGGAAGGCTCTGGGGATGTTATCAATGTATATTAATACCTGAAGGGAAGGCATAAAGAAGAGGGAGCCAGGCTCTTCCCAGCAGTGCCCAGTGACAGGACAAGAGGCAATGGGCACAAACTGAAACACAGGAGGTTCCCTCTGAACATCAGGAAACTGAGAAGGTGACCAAGCACTGGCACAGAGTGCCCAGAGAGTTTGTGGAGTCTCCATCCTTGGAGGTCCTCAAAAGCTGTCTGGACATGGTTCTGGGCAATCTACTCTAGGTAGTCTTGCTTGAGCCAGGGTTAATATGGACAAGACTCTCAGAGGTACCTTCCAACCCCAGCCATTCTGTGGTTCTGTGACCTCAGTAACACTGTAATTAAAAATTCTGTACCGTAAGGGAAGTACTTTTGCACTGGCCTCACAAATCATGACAACTT